GGGGGGGGGGGGGGGGGGGGGTGTTCATACGGGCACAGGACCAAGAAAGCTCAGCATCGTACAGAACGTGAAGCAGGCTCCCGTGTCACAGAGTGGAACTGCTCCTCTGCTGGCGGTTGGCCCTTGGAGAAGTGCTCCTGGAAGCCCGGCCGAGACTCGGTAACCGCACGGCCTCCGAGACCGTGACTGCAGCTACACCTCTCTCTGTCTCTTATCTCCACAGTGCACTTACTCGAGGGACCACCTCACTGATTCCTCGTTCCCACCGAGAGATCGAATCCACTGTCGTGACATTATTCGGTCTTTTTCTCTTTTCTTCCTTATTTGCCCGCGTTAGATCCCGTGGTCCATCGCTACAGGAACTGCTCTGCAAACCCACCTGCGGCCTGTCTGCCCTCCGCTCCTCGGTGACACGGCCTGGAAGGCGCCCGTGTCGGCCGAATGGGACTCTCCCACTCCATGCTTCCGTCACGGAGGCTGACAAAGTGGCTGAAGGAAACGCAGTCACCTGACACTCACGTCTGCTAACACTGACCATCTGGTGACGACTGGCGGTCCTAAACCATTTCCCCAGAGCACGCGGTCTTCTGTGAACTGACCATCTCACGCGGTGTCTTCATCTTGACAAAAATCTCACGGTCTCCACCTTCCTTGTTCGCAGTTGATGGGCCCTGCTTTGTATTTGATGTTGCGTCTGTGTCCTCAAAGTAGAAGCTACGCGCTGCGAGGGCCAGTACTGTCCTCTTTTTCTGTTCACCGTCACCCCCCCACCCCAGTCGTGTGCAGAACAGTTCCTGGGCCGTCAGTGTTCAATAAACAGCTGGTAAATGGATGGAGCAGCTTACACGTAAACTGTGCCACTGCATGAAATGCACGTTGATACAAAAGACCATGATGTCTTATTTTCACTGGGTTTGCTTTGTGAAACGATACCACCCACACAGAACGATACTGCCTAAGAACACGTGAGATCATTTAAAACATCCCCAAAGCCTCCTAAACAGCAATCTTCTCATTCGGAACAGGAAGGAGTAGGAAGCACCAGGTCATTGCTCCATCACTCCTGCTGCAAAAAGTCCAAAAATGTAACTTGCAAAAATCTTATTTTTACAGAAATCAAGTATCTGAGAGAGCAGAGAGGACGCAGGACAACGAAACAGGGAGGGAACAGCCATTCTGAGGCGAGAAGACTCTGGCAGCTGGCTCCGATTTCTGAACTTTACCCAGTTCTGTGGCCAGGCTTAGGCCCCAGCTTGCCCTAAACGGAGCGCTATTATGCTGGAGGAAAAACACACACCAGAGCTTCTGGAGAATGGGTGGGGCTGCTGAAACAACTCGGAAACCTCCAGATCCCTAAATATGTGCTGCTATTTTCATCGTGGTGTCTTTGTTGTATCTGGAGACTGCGTGGGAAGTCAGGGGCTTCTAAAATGCAGACTAAAATCTCCTCCGGTACTAGAGTATTTGAGAAACAAGAGTCTTGCCTCAGGAGAAGAGTCTGTCTCAAATACGTGGCCAGTCTCCCCATCAACACATTTGTCAAATAGGAAAAGGGCACGGGGTAGGAGGCTAAAGGGCAGAGTGAATCGCCCACACTTTACAGAGTGAGGAAGAGAGCCCCAGCCTGGCTCTTTCTAGATCTCCCTTTATGATACTTGAACGCGGAGGTAGGCTGAGCCAATGAAATCTGCAAGCCAGCCTTATCCTAGCTCAATTCCGGTTAGAGGGAGCTCTAGGAGAAACCGAAAACTTGTGCTACAGCGCCACCTTCTGGAAAACAAAAGAAAGGCTCCTGAATGACAACCTGTTGAACCCTTAGAATCCAAGGAAACAAAACCTTCCCTAAGTAAGAAAGGTGCCTGCTACTTCAAGTGTGACCACAGAGGTACATTTCATGACGCACTATGAGAAAACCACAGTTTCACAAAAAGAAAGGACTGTTTTCCAGCAACTAAATGCAAAGACATGAAGCACTGTGTTCTCACAGATAAAAAATTCAAAATGGCGGTTAGGCAGAAATTCAATGAACTATGAGAAAACTCAGAAAGGCAACTCAGTAAACTCAGGAATAAAATTAGCGAACAGAAGGAGTACTTTACAAAAGAGGCTGAAATTATGAGAAAAACGCAAACAAAAATTCTGAAGCTGAAGGCCTCAATCTATGAGGCTGAAAAATGCGTGACCAAGCACTGGGGGCACCTGG